AACATGTTTGTTGTCTTTATTTTTTGTGTATTCACTGTATTGTATTGAACAAAATGGTTATGCGGCCCGAGCTCATCATTCTCTCAGTTATCTGGCCCGCTGTGAAAAAAGTTTGGTGACCCGTGGTCTAGAGAAACAAAACTTGTACAAGATTGGCTTTATCTTCTATCTTTATTAAATTTCAGTTTGAAAACACACTTATCTTGAATTCTGCTGTTATGTTAGAACTTCAGAAAGTACAAAGCTAGCACATTTCCTATCTTTCTATCATTATTCTATTAAACCTTATAAAATGGTAGCCTTTAAGCCTTTTGCATATTGAGGAGTAAAATGATTTAATGCTTGTGCATCTTGTACTTTGCTCTTTGTTCAAATGTATATTATAAACATAACATGTAAATACACTAGCTTTATGGCTGTAAAAAAAACTGTTCTAAAATTTTCTTTTCATCTGAAAAAAGTAATCAGAAAGAAAATTGTTCTGGATTTAAAACAATTTTGCAGCATTAGATTGAAGAATATTACTGCTCACTGTGAATTATTTTATGTATGGAAATAAAAACTGTTGTTCAAAAATAAAAGAGAATAGTCAAAGATAACGGGTAAGATGATATTTTAATTTACCCAATTCAAACCTTGCTTCAAAAAATAATATTGAAACTCACAAAAGTAATGCACTTGATGTATTACAATAATATTTATATTCTATGAGTCTACCTAATTATACTTCACTTAAAAAGAAAGCACTAAATGTGAAAACTTAAGAATCTTTCTAAAAGTAAACAAGAAGGTATACATGGTTTAACATTAGCCTTGTCAAGCCGTATAAGATGAAAAATCTATCTTCAAACACAAAGTCAAACAATTGCAGAAACAGTGCATACATTTAAATGGAGCAAACTTAATTTTTTTTATATGTATGCATATTTCTACATAACAAGTCTTAGATCAAAGTTCTATAGATTTTCTTCTTTAGCTTTTTCTAAATCTCTTCCTTTAATACTAAAATTACTTTGCAAAATGTTATTATTTTACATCAAAATACTGACAATTTAAACATCATTTATTTTCAAAAGTTGATAGTTTAAAACAACTTACATTTTAGATGCTCTTACATGTATTTCCTATTACTGTAAATAATTTAAAAAATACAGCATTCTGTATATGTACATTTCTGCATGTATTTTACTCGTAAACTGTAAAAATAGAAAACTTCAAATAGAGCAATTAAACAAACTTAAGTGATCTTCCACCCCAATCAACTAGAAATATTTATTTTTTTACTAATATTTTAGAACAAATAAAATATGATTAACTTTTATTCCTCACATTTTTCACTTAAAACTCTTGTTTCCTTGATTTCTTTACTTTTATGTTTCAAAGTTTATACAAGTTCAAGCTAGTCCAAAACCTTCAGTATGATGGATGGCCTTGAGTAATTTATTCCTGAGAACAGTTTCACTAGAATATGGTGGCAAGTCAAGAACATTAAAACATGTGTGAGCTACAGGAAGGTGTTCATCTCCTACATTCATTGGCTGGATTACGAGCTAAGAAAATATAAAAGTAAAAACAGCTAATTATATTTAAATAGTAGATCTTATTCTGACAAAAGTATTTCAAATATATGTGTAACATGTTAAATAACAAGAAAACTGACAAACTATGACCAAAAACAAATATGCAATATTTTCAGGATCACACACCTCTTCATCTTTTAAACAGGTCAGAAAAATATATTTTTCAAATTATTTACTGACTTTTGAAATATTTTGTCTATTGTTCTTCTTAATTTTACTTCTGCACATACACGTCAAAAGTGATCAAATATGTTTCAGCTTCTTAAACAAAGACTTTTACACAAACAGAAATGACCACACTACACATTCACTAAGCGATGGAAGGATATCAAAATTCAAAACTGTAAGATTAATTATCACATAACAATATCATAACCCATCAACTCTTGTTTCATTTAATTCCAAACTTCAAACTAAACTAACAACAGTTAAAAATCTGATACAAGATGTTAGGCTTTTGAAATTTTAGTATACTTTTAAAATAAAATGAGAAAAATGCATTATGAATTAAAAAAAAAACATTACCAACCTTAACAACTTTCATTCCTAATATTGGAATTCTGTCTGAGCCAGTCAAAAACACTGGAACCAGAAAGAAAGATAGACATAGTTATTTTCTTAATCTATATTCTTTACCATACACAATTTCCTATAACACGTGATGTATAATACAAATAATTTTACACTGATGAATGCTATTTTAATAGCTTAATGACAAATATAGCCTGTGATTACAAATAACCTGCTTTGTGATGAAAATAATTTCATTAAACCATTACAAATATTACAAGTATTAAGATACAGAATAACATAAGTAGAAAATTACAGCACATATTTAAATTTAACTCCATTTGTTTGCTTTATTTAACACACCATTTTAGAGGTCTTGATGAGCATAACACTATTCTACTAACTTTGATATATCATTATGGTTTTTACCTATTCAACAAAATAACATTAAAGCTGACTTAAGTCAAAAACGAAATTATAAATTAAGGAAATAAGAAAACAGAAAGTGTCAAATTAAAAGTTAAAAATCCAATATTCACAAGAACAGAAAAATAATAGAGACTGTATGTTCATAACATTGTATATACAATAGAAAATATTTTACTGTATTCCTCTCTTAACTTCAAAATTAACTTTATAGACAGCATTTAAAAAACAAACTGTTTAGAAAGTAAATAAAAATGGTATTACAATTTAAACAAAGACTGACTTGAATAAGATCAGCCAATAAATATATCAATTTGAAAACCTACAAAGAAATTTTTTCTTTTCCTCCAAAGTAAGGCTATGAAACACCTTCCAAAACATTTTGATCACTTGAGAGTCTTTGTTGTATGGATCTTTGTATTCTGTATTCTAATGAAAAAGTAAGAAAAAAACGACTACTATTAATCAATGTTCTAGCAGTAAAAAAGCAATTTCTAATCATTATTTTAAAATCCTTCTTGGTATATTACACTTGGGTTTATAATCCAGGTGACAAGAGGAACTTTGGTGACTGATATTAGCATCCGCTTTCCAAAAAGAAAATCTGTTATCATTTAATTTCTGTAATTGTAAATTTATGTGACACATGGAAGTGTGGTTTTGTTATTACATTTTGGTTCAGGTAAGAAAAAATTTGATTTCTGTAGTATGGTAACACCAGAAGGTATGGCGATTTTAATGTGTTAAAAGCTAAATTTTAGTAACAATTCAACACATGTAGGATATAACCACAAACAAGTGGAGATAGAAAATTTAACTGATGTAATTGACAGCCAAAAACTGTACAATCTGTGTCACTAAAAATCTGTTTATCTTATATAATGATGAATATAAAATCATACCATTAAATCCATAAAAAAAGCACTGCAAAACATACATATTTGTATTTTGAAATTAAAAGACAAGTCTATAATGAAACAAAGTCAAATTACATTCAAATTATTATTATTTGGTAGTAGTTTTCTGCATACTGGATAATCTGTAGATATAATTATCAGAACAATGTAGTATAAAAATGGAGTTATCAACCATCATACTGTAGAGTTAAGAATCAATCAGAGGCAATGTTAATACTACTGATACCAAAAGTACATCACTGTACTAACAAAAAGTACAAACATTAACTCATATAATCATATTTCTGAAACTCAAAAGTAGTTCAATTAGAAAGTGCCCAAAACCTAATTGAAAAAAAATGACAAAAAGTGTAACAAATATTTATAATCTTAAAAATATAAGTTTCATTACAAATTGAACAAGACTTGACGAGTAATAAGTCATGTTGCCTCAGATAAAATTAATAATTTCAAGTAATACTGCTATAGTTTCTCTTAATCTAGCCAGATTAATAATATTCTATATTTTGGCTACAAATATATTTTTATATTTGTGTAAAAATATACCAGGGATATTTGCACTATCTGTCCCTAATGTTTAACAGACAGACTAAAGGGATGGCAGCTAGTCAACAAGCATCCACTGCTACTCTGGGGGCCTGATAAGTAGTGGTATTTGTCCATCACTCTTATAACAAACCCACAGCCTAAAATTGAGGAGCACAATTTTCATTTTTGTCCAGCAACAGGATGTAAACCATAGCCTTATGGATCCAGCCTGGCACATTAAACATTGGGCCACACCCATCTCACAAACAGCTAAGTAGAAATCATGAATAATGAATAAAAAAAACAGAACTAATAGATGGAGAAATTTGTTAAAGATGAAACACTGAGGTGAAATATGGTAACAAATTAATCCATAATAAATATACGTATTTAGCTTTTGCAGCTTTTTTGTCACACTATTTTAAAACTTTCTACAACTCTAAAATGTCAAAAACTGAAAGTAACAATTTTCTCATGCTTTTTAGTTATCATAAAAAAATTAGAGAAGACCGGTTTTAAAATAAGCATACATTTTTAAGGTTAACAGCTGATTCACAAATAATTCACTTTTTTACTCATATCAGGGCCAAAGATTAAGGTGGAGCTGCAGCTCTAGGCCCACCACTCTTAAAAAAGAAATTTTTTAAATGACATGCAATAGAAAATATATGCAATTCAGCATCAACAATGAGTTCAGCATTTAATAAAAATCTGAAAACAAAGGTGGTCCTAATAATTTGTGATAGGCCTAGATTTATTAGAGAAAAAAACGTTACTGAGACATATATACAATTTCAGATGATCCCTTATTAAATAGAATATTCTTGAGTGACTAGAAGTGCAGTGACACTAAAATGACAAAATCTGTCTAGCATGCATGAGCTACATCACGTTTTTGAACGTGTCTGTCAGTAGTGGATACAGGAGTGGGGTTCCGGAGGTTCAAATCCTGTCCTTTTTGATGCAAAGTGCCTTCAATATGCAACATACAACTCGTTATATAAATTTAATTATGTGGTTTTTCCTTTGTGAGGAAATTCTAGACCTAAATGAAATTTAAATCGACTCTATAGAGCTACTGCATGCTATAATCTCCATTTCACAAAGGTGTCAGGAAAAACATTTGCCTTTGTCATGGCTCTGCTCTTTTTCATATGATCACATTTTTAAATTGGCTGGAAACCGGAACCTGTTACAATCTTGAATGCACTTATGAACAGACTCAGAGTCGTCAACTGTCCATTTGAATGGACAGATTCGTCAAAACTGTATTTTGGAAAATGATTTTTTCATTTGTCCATTAATATTATAAGTATAAGAACAAGTCATTTACTGCTAGCAGGTAAACTTGTCACTTTACAGACTGAAATTTAGTATACTAATGCATTACATACACAGATATGGGCCTTGGAAGGGGGTCAGATGTTGAACTTGTATACAGGGTACAAGCCACGACCTTCATGCAGTGATAAACATAGAATTTTACTGTTCTACAATATTAACAGCCATAAAGGAAGAAGTCCTAAATTACCTGATTGTTCCCAGTACATGCAAGAATAAACCCAAATACCAATAAAGAATTCAAGCAATGTTGTAAAATTCACAATGGACAAAGCGTGAATAGATAGATATTAGATTAACGGACAAATCAAAATTTTTCATGGATAGGCACTTTCAGAATAGACAAATTTTAGAATAAAGGATAAACAAATGTAGTTTCATGTTACAATTTTAAACCATTGAATAAAGAATAAAGGTGGTTACAAGGTCGGTCAATTTGACCAATCTTGTATAGAGTTAGGGTACAGAAAAAAGCTAAAATATAAAATTTTACTGAAAAAAACATTTGAAATGTATTTAGGAGATTTTAGAGATCACATAAATGACATTTGAGATTTTTGAGATGAAGAAAAGTATTTTTAATCTTAACATGAAATCACTTTGCACTCGAACTGGTAAAAAAAAAAGACTATATATTCACGGAAAATCTTCAGTAAAGATACTTCATTAAATAAAAAACTGATTTTTTGTGTACAAACGATTTATAATGTTTACCAAAAGTTTGCAAATTGTATGAAGATACACTTAGTGCATTAAAAGTTATGGTATTAAAACTACGTACAAGTAAAAAATGTTCATGTGGTCGGTCCCTGGGACTGAGCCTGAATTGAGAGAGTTAACCCTTTTGATACAAATAGGTAAAAGTGCATATGTCATGGCCTTTCACAGTTACATTCAAAATTTCATTAAACTAATTTATTATCAATGTATATCAACAAAGATGGCATTAAACATAATTTATAGATCAGATTTTAATAACTTAAATTTTAAATTTCGTATTTTTAAAAGTATACATATTATAATGACAAACTTCACTTTCTGTATATCACATCACCCTTTTTCAGTCTTAACTATTTATTTCAACATTTTCTGCTACCCTCTAAGCCATTGTAATTTGCCATGTAATTTTACACTTACATTATATATATATCCTCGAGCTAAACTCAATTTCTAGCAAGAATTTGCCACCCATACAGCTTTTGCTTTATGGAGGTATCAGCAATAAAGTACTGATCAAATGCCATGCCTTCCACTGAGCATCTTGCTTTCAAAACAAGTCATAAATTCTCCCCGACGTTTGCTATTGTATTATTTGTAACCAATAAAAGGCGGAGGTTTCACAGAACTGACAGCTATAGGGTCTAAAGATCTGTGACAGTAGAATAATAAATTGGACATCTGAACACCATTTCCTTCAGTCTCGCTGTTGAGGCTCTGCTTGACCAGGTATGGGAATAATTTCAAGCCATTTCTCTGTGAGTTATTCATTCGTTTATAGTTAAGCACAAAGCTACACAATGGACTATCTGTGCTCTGTCCACCACAGGTATCAAAACCTGGTTTCTGGTGGTAAATATTTTACATTCTAAATTGAGTAAAAAAATTTTTGAGGCCACATTAATATAAGTAATTGTAATTTTCTGTTATAATCTGCAGCCGTTCTAAAAAAGAAAAAGGGGGTAATTTAAATTTATTTCATATTTTTGTGGTGGTTGCAATGTTGGTAAAAATGACTGAGCCTGTATACATGAATTAATAAAGCAGATGTAAAATACTTTGTCTTTAATATCATTTTACCAAAAATATTAAAACAAAATGAGTTTGAAGATGCTTGACTCGATTGTTCATATTAAAGCCACTCTCTCATTTAATCGAAAATGCTGTAAAATATTTTATTGTTTCAAAGTCTATGTTGAACTGTTTTACTTCAGATGTTTATTGAGACCAAACTGATGCAGAGCATGAATTATCATCATTGTTGGCCTAATTGTATGATATTTTGTGAAATGAAATACACATCTAATATAAATAAAATATGGCATATCTATGCAAACTGTTTTCCTTCAAAAAATATGCATTTTCTAAAGTTGTTGTATGCACTCTTGTGTATGTGTAATTTGTATATGATAAATCTAATCAAAAACACCTTACGTGTGAAAAAAAAAGGTGCGGCCAAAAAAGGATTCAGCATGCAACTTAAAGGAATGAAATCAAAATTGACAGACAAACTGGTAGCTACACTTAGAGCATTGATGAGAATTTTACAGCAAATATTCATTCATTAGTTAGCTAGGCCTCATTTTTTGTTCAACTTGGGACATGATGGTGGGTAAAACAAAATACGTGTCCAAGCTAACTAATGAATGAATGAATATTGGCTGTAAAATTCTTATAAATGCTATAACTGTAGCTTACCAGTTTGGCCACCAATTTTGATTTCATTACTTTAAGTCACACACTCAATGCTTTTTTGGTTGCACCTTTTTTTCATACTTGAGGTGTTTTTGATTAGATATCATGATAGTTTGTCAATACACACCAACAAACCACAGCAAGTAAGAAAGTTACACACAATAGTAACCAACCTTAGCTTTAGGATCACAACCCTGTTATTTGGAACAGACCTATACTTCACAGAACCAA